ATATATATATATATATATATACCATGTCCTAAATCAAATAGACTAAACAATTGATTGAAATTCATTCAAAGTACGTGCTAACTATTGATTAGGAAACGTCGCAGTAATTCAAGCAGCTAACGAGGAAGTTGACGACTTGCACTATCGGGTCATTTACACTGTCGACTAATCTAAAACACGATGATCAACTATCTTACAAGCTAACTACCTTGGCGAGGATTCTAGATCGGCTGTTTCTCCGGTTGACCACTTGGCCATGAGCCATCCGACCTCAAGACCACCAAATTGCCTCGTTGTTTCGTTTTAACGCTCAAAATCGTTAAATTTATTAATGAATTACTTGACAAAAAATCTATTATTAATTTTTTACTAATTATTTATAATAAATATAACATTACATTCCTAATCTTCATAATCTTCCTTATATGAATTGAAAATAAGTATGCTGTGATACAAATAAAATTTAAAATGAAAAAAGATAATCGAGATAAAAAAATGTTGACAGAAAAAACTTACCACTTACGTCGATGCATGTAAAAGGACAGATAATGTGGAACCCTTGTTTGGCCAACTTTTGAACGCACAATGTTGTTGCAAAAAACATCAGACGGTAAGTGTTAGGATATGGACTTTCTGCTATAGAATATAAATAGCTTGTATAAGTATATATATATGCTGTAGAATATAATCGAAGATGAAAGAGATGAAAAAAATAGAATAGAAAATTGTTTAGTTATATTTCGATAATATCAATAATTCGGTAGTACAAATCTTACGTAGTTGGATATACAAAGAGATTATTCTAAAATATGGATGATAGGACATATAATCACAATGCGATATTTTTATTAATATTCATGAAAATAATCTTAATCAATATGCAAATGCCTATCTATAATAAAATACTTACTTATTCATAATAATCTGACTACACGATTTCTAATTGTCATAAAGTATATAACACTATCTAGTATTAGTATAAATATTATAAATATATATCATTATTAATTTTCTATAAATATATAAAAAAGAAACGAGCACATACATAAACGTAATATATAATCTAAGTAACCATTGTATATATATCATATAATGAAAAGTTATATATGAATATATACGTGTATATTAAATAGCTAATTCGTATACTTAAGCATCTAATAATTGAAAGTAAATCTTTGGTAAATATCTAATGAGATAAAAGATTATATTTTTTTTACCAATGGGATGTTGCTGCTGGTGTAATCGACTGCATGCCTAAGGACGGTCCGCTACACGAAATAATTATTAAAAATTCAAGTACATAATATGTAAATCCCAATAATTAATTTTCTGGAACACTGGATCATATATCTACCTCCACGCAATAAGTGGTGCCAATCTTTCGGTCAATCTTTGATAATTCCTTTCTAACTCTCGCTGATAATCACGTTGATCTGGACCTATCAAATTCTTATTTCTGCGTAAAGCATCAAGACATCTTTTGGAAAAATCTTTGAAGCATAAACGTAATTTATGCTGCAACCTCGAAGGCTGTGCATTTTGTTCTCGTAATCCTGAAAGAAAAACAACCGCTACTTCCGCAGGACCTTGATTAACAGTTGTGCCTATACATCCCTGAAGAACCATTTGCAACATTTTTGCATCTGGTGGTTCTTGAGCTGTGGCTGCTGCAACCTGTATCAAACAAATATTTTTATATGTGCATATATATCATTATATAAATCATTTAAATACCTCAGCTGTCTTCTTTTGTATATCTTCGATAGCAACTTCAATAGGACTTAATACTATCTGCTTTCTAGCAACAACTCGAATTCTTGTTTTCAAATAAGGAAAATGCGTTGCCACTGTTAATATTGTTTTACGTTTGCACTGTTCTCTGAGCTCGCCATGTGCTTTACCCCCAGGTGTAAATGGTGTTGCATAAACAAAACGTTCTAAAAATAATAGTAATTATTTGATAACAATAAACAATGCTTTTGGGCTTCTATCATCTTTCAATCGATACAAACTTATATTAAAATTTCTGTGAAACACAGTAGGTCTGTGTCTAAGTTCGTGCAACTCAAAGTACGGTTCAACGTAAGTAATTTGAACGTATGCTTTGTCAGGTTCTAACTTCGTTGGATCTACAGGATTCGAATCTTTGATTATAACTATATTTTCGGTACCAAATCGCTCGGCATAAAAATTTTCTAATCTTGAGAATATCTCAGGAAGTTTAGTCAACGTTGGTTCTTTATAAACAAATTCCTCGCCAGCAAGATCACCAAATCGTGCTCCATAAAATCCAACTCTAAAATACGTGCCAAATACACGTTTTCCAGCTAATTGTTCAACGCGTGTATAAGCTTCGTGAAGTTTTCTAGCAAATAAAACAAGAAGAATTTGAAAGGACAGTTTAATTATTAGTACCTTCAATTTTATCTAATAAATCATTATCTTTTACCCATGAATATTTGCTAGTTTTTTGTAGTCATGTGCAGCTTCAGCTATCGGTAATAATACTCTGTATACATCAGGAATAGCTTCATACATTCCAGCAGCTTGAAAAGAACTTGCAGCATGTTCCAAGAGACCCGCTAAACCACTCTCAGAAAAATCTGGTCCTAAACACAAACCCTCTTCTCTTCTCGCTAAAACATCGTCACCAACAGCACTCTCTTCTAAAGCATTTGGTGTTACTGGGCTTAAAGCAACAGCTCCCACTGGTCTACCACCACCACCTGGTTCCAAAAGATGAAGGTATTCCGCTACAAGTGCTGCACTATGTACGAGACACATTGCAGCTTCTGTATGATTTTTTCGTTCCATGTGTTGTTGTGCCATGTTTGCTAGCCAAGTTAATCTTAGATCTGGTGATCCTTGATATCCTTTTGCAATTCTATATTTGATCGAAGATATGTTTGAAATATTCATCCTAAAGATTCACTATGACTGATATTTAAAAACTTTACCTATACATTAAATCCAAAAGCATTTCTGGGTCTTCTTGAAATTCTTTCATTTTAACAGTATCTGATAGTATCATATGCAAATTAAAAAGCAAATCTTTAACTTGCTCGGGAAAACTTGTGTCAGCTAATTCTGTATCACGTTCTGCATATACCAATACTGTTTTCAACGCTCTTCTAAGAGCTCCTTCGCTAGGTGCTCTTCCCCTACCAACTAGAGCCGACAACGATGTCGTAACTTGCATTTTAACTCTTGCAAAATTCTGTTAAGAACATCAAATATAATGTTCATCTAATATTTCCGGAATACAAAATAGAAATTTGATATTAGAAAACACATACGTTTCCGATTTCGAAATTTTGTCTCATTAATAAGTATAAACTGGCTGCTGCATGACTTCTAATAGCACTTAAAGGTGAACTACACCTTGTAAGTAATGTTAAACATAAATCGCCACATCTTTCACTTTCCTCGTCAAAAAGAGCGCTATGATATTTAAAAACTAAAGCACGTTGAGTATTAAACATATGCTGAAGTACCGATGTGCTTTGATTTCTAGCTAATGCTCTTAATAACACCTTCAGTACAGCTCCAACTACTGCGCCTATTGATTTATTTTTAAATTTAATAATTAATGTTAAAGATATAATAACATATGATTTGTAATAATAACAAAAAGAAATAATTTCTTACCTCCTCCTCCATCTGCTTGTACAACTGCCTCTAAAGTATCTAGAACTACAAGTGAAGCTTCAGCTGCTAAGGCACCTTCTATGTGAGCATCTTGCTCCACTGCTCTTCCCTCTGGTTGTTCACATGATCTAAAAAATATTTTAATAATATTTTATTTAAAATTAATAATGACAAAATCTTAATATGCATATATATATATATATTTAAATTTAATTTTACCTATAAGGCATTTGATCTTTTCTCCATCTCAATTTATCGCCACTTGCTCTCTCTTTTCTGCGCAACATCATTTCACTTCTAGCACTACCTTGACCAAGTATAACATCTTCTAGCCTTGAACGGATATCGCTAGTAGCGGCAGCTTGTGGTGGTAATCTTTTCAAAGCTTTTTTACCCTTATACTCAAAAGCTGCCGTTGCGATATTTAAAACTTGTAATATACTTAAAACGCGTCTGGAACTTAATTCTGAACACCATTGTCCAAGTGCACTTTTCTCTAAACCCTTAAGTATCCACAGAGCACACATAAGAAGATGCCTTGTTGCTTCTGAACTTAACGAAACACGACATTGTGATCCTGCAGTATCAGCAGATGCTCCACCAGCTATAGCCAATGCAACAGATTGTGTAATAGATCCCGATTCATCTGGATAAACACTTTTATCTTTAGAATCCCAATGATATAATTGAGGCAAAGCATCCATAATGATGCTCAAAAGTGGAAGATACAAAGCAGCAACTCTAGCTTTTGCTGCAGGTTCAGAGTATCTAGGATCGACATCGTGACAACCCATAAGATAACGAATCGTGCCAATAGCTTTATTTTGTAACATTGGATTTGGTATTTCCAAAGTGTTTGCCAAGTCGGATAAAACTAGTCCAACTAAGAAATGTTGTTGTCGAAATTCTTGACTCAATTCAGAGAATCTAGCTCGATCTCCAGGAACGAGAGTAGATATTAAACTTCCAGAACTACCGGTGGATGGGCTAGGAGATGCTGGTGCTGATCCTGATGTATATCCAGTACCAAATGGAAGATTCAGAGATACGTAATGTTCGTGCGAACATACTGTTCTTACAAGATCAAGTTTCAATGCAAAAAGAGCAGCAGAGTCAGGAATATGCATAGACGCATCTGACAGAGAACAACATGTAGCACGAACGAGAGATAATACAAATCCCCTATCCATAACGGACAATAAATCGGAGAGAAAATTGCCGAGACTTGAAACTAAATTAGATGCTACACGATTTTCTTTCCCACACCGTGAAATAACTTCTGATGTTAGAGCTGCAGCAAGTGTTGCTATGTCGTCACAAAATTGTGGCGAAAATCTCGATTTTCTTGGTGCTTCCAAGATATCCAATTCCGACAATGTTACAACCATAGAACGAACTATTAATTCTAAGAAGAACCAAGAATGAGTTATTGCTAATTCTCGTGCCTGTCCGGTGGAAACCACCCAATGTAACGCTATTTCTTCATGTAGTAGTCTTCTAGATGGTTGACTGTTTATTGACGGCGATTCCTGTCTCATTGATGCAGTTCTATCTAATCCTCGAGAATGAACTTCCATTTCTAAATCCTCCACAGGTAAGTCAGGATTACTTTGGGCTCTCATGACTCCTGGCGTTTGAGATGTGGTAGGTAATGAGCATTGATATGCTATGTATGTAGCTAGCAATGCATGTCTTCCATGTGCATCAACTTGACCATCTGGTAAATTCGTTATTTTACGAACTAAAAGACCTAGAGCCTCAAAAATAGTAGCTGCTACATTTAATGACTGAGATGGTAATGTAGGTGGTCGCACTAAAAGCGCAATTAATTGGTCTAACAATTGTGGTAACGAGCGAACCAAGGCAGAAGGAGAAGCTCGTGCTAATTCCATAAGAGCTGATTTTAACTCTGATTCCATTCCTGCCTCTCCAATACGTGGTGGTACTTGTCCAGTTTCCAAGAAGCCACAAAGTGATAAGAATCTGTAATTTACGTGTATTGAATTATTCTAATTATACGGTTGAAAAAATTTTAATTTAAAAATCATAATTATTACAATAAATATTACCTGTCGATATATTTATCTTGTGGATGTACACTGGATACTGGTTCTAATATAACTGTGAAAACTCCTCTATGAGCATCTACCCATCTAGTTCCTGGTAATAGAACATCAGGAGCGATATAAGAATAATTTGCTGGAGGTGGATCTAACATTGCAGGCAGACTAAATTCACCAGATTGAAGGTGTCCATCTCTTAAAAGTGGTAGCCACTAAAATATATAATATAAAATTTTCTGTATATATATATATATATATATATATATATATCTTTTCTTTAAAAATATAATATATAATTAGTTAAAAATGTGTACATTTTATATAATTCTTATTTATTGTTCATCTGAAAATGAGTCACACTTACCGTATAAGCTACAGCCGTTTCAACATTCGGCTGTTCAGCTTTTTTCTGACAACTAATGTGATAAAAAGTGAACAATAAATGATGCTTAGCACCTAAATCAGCAGGAAGTCTGATCTTCACTTCATCATAAAAATTTGGGTTTTTGTTATGGTAGGAAACAGATGTAAAACACTCGTGTGTCATTTCAGGACAAGAAGATCTTCCAAATATAGCTGTTAATGCGTCTGCTTCTTGTTCACCGCCCATAAGCTGAATACGAACAGTTATATTGCGTGCTGATCCTGTTCTAGAACTGAAGTTTACCTCCTACATACAAAAATACATCAAATGTAATATGTAATTCATATATTTTAATGATTATTTCATTTATTGATCAAATATCAACTAATATTACAAACCTTTGGATAAACGTAAAGTAAATTACGATATGTTAAATCTGGAGAAATAACTTCGCTAGGAAATTCAAGTATTTCTTTAACGGGTCGGCTTTTTTCGTCTGGATACGGTATCAATCTTCTAAGATCAACATCAAGACACCTAGGTAATTCCTCAGGTCTTGGACTAAGATCTAATTTTAAAATTCCTGGTATACATTTTAATCGTTTCAAATTAGAACCTGGACGACGTAATTCAACTAGAAGTTTATATAAATCTTCGTCTCTTAATCGTTCACTTTCTTGTTTGAAAAAACTTGAAACTTTCAATGTAATAGGCCTGCAATAAATCAAAATAATAGTTTTTAATTATTTTAATGTTGCATATATTAAAAAAAAAAACTATATTTCTACATGTGTACCTGAAAGTATCAAGGCAGTTAGCAAAATCGTCAGGTGACCAACTTCTTCTTTTATCAGAACTGCGTCTTTCTAATGAACCTCGTCGAGTTGGAGTTTCTACTTTTTTTCGCCATTGTTCTAAACCACCTGACTTTCTGTCTAATGAACCTGCACTACCAGTGTTATCTGTATCACCACCACCACCATTTATAACTCCAGATAAATGAATTGCAGTCCATGCAAATGGCATCCTGTAACGACCCAATCGATCACATGCTGCTACAGCAGCTGCTCTTACCTATATAATTTTAGAAATATTTTTATAAATTATTCATTTTAATGAAAATTATATCATTTTTTTTTATAGAATTAACATTAGGAATAAAATTACTTTTTCCTTATTCTTATCCTCGCGTAAATATGGTTCGGCACATTCAGAAATATCACCTTGTAATACTTTTTCTAATCTGACAACCAAAAATAAATCAGGACTTGGTTTACTAATACTCATAACGCAACTTCTAGCTAATGTACTAGCGTCGCTGTAAGCTATATGTCCTCCAAGCATTCTTTTTAAACCTTCCGAATTCATATCCACATAGAAATTTTCTGAAACCTACAATATGTCGTAAAATTATATTACTTAATAATATTAAAATCTATCTAATATTTATATATACCTTTTTCTTTTCTCTAGCATCGTATAATGCAAGACTAGCAAATATTGGTTCAACTTCTAACTCCAATTTTAATTGAAGACATTTTATAAGAATTTTATGAGAAAAAGGATCAGATGGTTCAGGGGCAGCATTAATTTCTTGCCATTCATCGTCAGGAGAAGTTGGAAGAGCATACAATGGAAATAATGCTTCCTAAAATTAATCTCATCTCAATATGTTTTCCAATAAATTATTTAATAATATTATTATTATACTGTATGTAAATATTTTTTGAATTACTAACTTGTCTATCCTCTGAACGTTTTTGTTCATTCATTTGATCAATCGTTTCTGGACAAACTCTATCCAATAAGCTTGGAAGAAGTGGATCATGTTGAGAATGTCTTAAATCCAAACTTGCCCAAGAACCTCTTGGTGTATCTCCACAATTTGATGAGTCTTCTTCTTCGTTTGGCGATCCAGAACCATTTGTATATTCTTGATCTACCTACTCGACGTACAACAAATTTTTATGTTAATATTTTTACATTAATAAAAATTATGTTTATATTAAATTACTTCAAAATCCTGTCTGGGTGTATCTTGAAGTAATCTATCTCTAGCGATGGGAGATACTCTTCCTCTGTACTTTCTATGTACCATAACCCAATCTGAAGTAAAACTTTCGATACATCTTCTGACATAAGGTGACACTGTATCCCTATTGATGAAATCATAATTATAAATTACTATATAATTTATTACGGTTATTATAAAAAAAAAAAGCACTTACAATGATTCATATGGCACTATCGGTTCTTCTGTTCGAATTTTTCGTTTTACAATCCTAAGCTCAACATCTTCGAGAGGAAAATCTAATATCGGTCTTAATGGATCTCTGTCTAAAACCGATTGATGTTGTACAAGAAATTCTTCATAATCAAGTGGTTCAAGTACTTCGCATAGAGACATCTTTGAATAAAAATATAGATCTTGGTTACATTTTAAGAAACATCTTATGATATAAATAAATTTAAGAAAAACTTACAGTTGAAGAAAAACCTGAAATACTACTACCACTTTTCGATAAGTCTCGTGAATACGAGGTAGAGGTAGCAATTTGTCGTCTTACATCTGCCGCATGCTGTTTGCTCAACTTGTGAGCAAAAGCTCGTTGAACCGAAGACATTATAAATGTCTTTGTGAAACCCTCTTTTGATAAAATTCTATAATTATTGATAAATGTTGTTTAAATTAATATCAAAGATAATATAATTAGTCTGAAGAATGATCAATCATTTTTATATAAATTATATTTATTTTTAATATATAATTTTTTACATCTACATAAACAACAAATATTTTATAGAAATTAAAGCAAAAAAATAATAATTATTAAATATTTATATCAACATTGAAGTAAACGATTAAATAAAAAATATGATAATGCATTAAAAAAGAAAATAATTACTTAGTCTAATTTAAATTCATTGAAAATGAATGACATTAATTTTTAATAAAAAAATATCTGCAAAATCTTTGTTACTCTTTTGGAACACCCACATTAAATTAATATCCACAGATCCTTCTATCTAATAATTATTTATACTACTTTCATTAACAAATTCATAATTAAATATCACTGTCACCTACATGTCTACACCTACATCTCCTTCCATCTTTAAATGACAAGAGCTCGATTTTTGCTAAAGGTTTTACCATAAATAAGGTATAACATAGATTTAATACTGCCTAAACTTATCCCTTTTATATCGCATCCTATATTACCGACAATGCACCTACCAGATGACAATGTCAATATAAATGCATTCAGCTTTGATCGTCACACGTATTTGAATAAACTTATAAGTAGTGTATTATATTAAAAAGAATAATAGAATACTAAACTCAATGGTATAATTGAATGGTATTAATGTCTAATGTATTTATTTATCTGTCCTGCATCGTTAATTCTCGTGGTGTAATCAGAGAAAAAAGTGGACAGTCGTTTTGTTTTATCATTTCATTTTTTGTCACAATTATTGAGCAATTATTCTTGTTAAACGATACAGCAAGCAGAATATCTTGTTCACGTATGTCATACACCATTATTCTCTGAAATAACCATTATTATAAAAAAAAAATATATATATATATATATTTTTGACAGTGGGTAAAAGATGAAGTGTTAAGTATTAAATTTTGATGTGTGAAAGTTGATAACATATGTCTCGTACTATTAAATTTATTAAATATACATACCATAAACAATGGTCAATAATGTAGAATATATTGGCATACATATCCTGTTTTGACCAAAATTTTCACTTATACTCTATTACCCGTCCACCAAAGATATGTCGTCTGAAGAAGCTTTTAGTGATTCATCGTTTGATGAAATATTCAAATCATATGCATCTAAACTTTGTAGAATTGTATCTGATGATGAGACAGAGGGTGAACATGATAGTAAATGGTATGAAGGTACCAATAATAATAAACAAATATGGTTTAATCCAATTGGCAATCAGCCCAATCTGGAATATTTTTCTGGCATTCCTGGTATCAATTTATCAAATTCTAAAGTTGTCAAATGCACTTCACCGATAGACTTTTACTTATTATTTGTTGATGATGAGATACTTACGTTGATTGTAAGTCAAACTAATCATTATGCAAATCAAATAATGGAAAAAAATCAATCTGAACGATTAAATAAATGGGTGCCTACTAATGCACAAGAAATTAAACAATTTTTTGGTTTGATTATGTGGATGGGATTGGTGAAACTTCCAAGTATACAGATGTATTGGACAACAGATCCTTTCTTTGTACAAAGTTTTCCACGTACTGTGATGTCCCGCAATAGATTTGAAATATTATTGAGAATGCTCCATTTTGTGGACAATGAGAAAATTATTAATCCGAATGACTTATTATGTAAGTTACAAACATTGACTGACATTTTAAATAAAAATTTTCAAGAATATTATAATCCTAGTGAGACTGTTTGTATTGATGAATCTATAATCCCATTCCGTGGAAAAACTATATCTAGGCAATATATAAAATTATTTAAGTTATGCAGCACATCAGGATATGTAAATTCTTTCCAATTATATGCAGGAGAAACTACAAATACAAAAGAAAGTACAACCATAAATGTAGTAATGTCTCTCTGTCAAAATATAATAAATCAAGGACATACGTTATGTACAAATAAAAGGTATACGAGTATCGTGTTGGCTGAAAAATTACTTTCTCTTGGCACGCATTTAATTGGAACTCTTCAAGTAAATCGTCATGGTATTCCAAAAGAAATATTATCGCAGAAGCTAAAACAGGGTGAGATCATTGCAAGAGAACATAAAAATGGATTAACTATTTTAAAATGGAAGGATAAACGAGACATACTTATGCTCTCAACTAAACATTCTGTGGAGATGGTTACAGTTGCAGGTCGAAAAAATAGTTCAATTAAACCAAAGATTTTTGTAGATTATAATGCCAATAAGTCATATGTTGATATATCTGATCAGATAAAATCATATTTCAATCCACTAAGAAAAGGTCAAAAATGGTATAAAAGAATAGCTTTTGAGCTTCTGCTTAAAACCTCAGTAATAAATGCTTGGGTAATGTATAACAATATAATAACCCAACGTATGTCAATTTTTGAATTTCAACAAAAATTAGTAACACAACTAACATCACGTAAAGGCGATACTGACAATGCATCTTTACCCAGACCACAAATTACAATTAGAAAGCATCACGAAATACAGAGAAAAAGTGGAAGCGCTCGACAAATTAGACGACGATGCAAAAAATGTTATGAAGATAATGCAAAGGAATTTGGTCGATTATATGCAAAGAATCGTACAAAGAAAGTAACTACATATTGTGGAAATTGTACTGACAACCCTCACTATTGTTTGCCATGTTTTAATATGGTTCATCGTGATATGCCTATGTAATAATTTTTTAATTTTCATAAATAAAAATCAATGTTATTGTCCACCGCTCACTCTGCTATTTTGATTTTTTTTATCTAGTATTATGTCTATCGAAAAGTTCTGTCCATTTTTGAATGAAAAGGAAATATTTAAACCCCAATTCAAGTTTCTAAATATGGTTCAAATAAAATATGGTCTTTTTTGAGCTAAACATTTTTGTTATACATAGATTAAACATTATTTCCTAAGAAAATATAAACTAGCATTGTCCGGCTTTTCTTATAATTAATAGACTGTGGGCCATTTTTCCTTTTCAAATATTTTAGCGGCTAAAGAATAATATAGATAATCAATAAGTCCATTTCAATGTTATATAAAAAAACTGGAAGAGATAATAATTTTAATTTTTATTTAAAAAAATTAATTTGCTTCTTAAGCTGCAAGTTAAAAAGTACGATTATTAATTAGTCGGCTGCGTATGTACAATGTAAATAATATTCGTAATAAATAAAATTTATTCCTATAGAAAGTTATATAAACAACAATTCAATAAAAGAGCTTTCGTAGAGAACAATGTATCAGTCTAACGGGGGATTTCGAGGAAGACGGTGCATCGAACGGTACATTCATGCTTTTAAACTACAATATATATTTCTTTCAATTATTTAACAATCAATTAACGTATATCGAACATTCTAATATATTCCAGTAATATTTAAGATTGTTTAAATTAAAGTATATTTGTTTTAACGTTCTTACATAGTGACAACTTTCAGGATAAAATTTTTGTCTAATAGAATATCACATCAAAATTATTTAATATTCAAAGTATATTTATAAGTATACAATGTATAAACCAATACATGTGTTTAAACAACTTAAATATATAAAGAGAGTGCATTAGAGTATTAAAATAATAGTTAATTAATCGATGGAAATGTAGATTGTAATCCAAAAACATGGATTTATCTTTTGTTGTACCTTCCTCCTCGAAATTCACCTTGAGACTGGCACTTTCTCTTTTATAAAAATAATTTTATTAAAAGCTGTTTATATGACCTCCCGAACGTTGCGCATGTGTGTTACGAGAAAATTATTTGTAATTAATAGAATTTACGATTATAACATTCTAATTTTAGCATTTATTTAATTTTCATGTAATTCTTTCAACAAAGGTATATTTGTTTTAATGTTCTTGCGCAGTGATGACTTCGAGGAGGTGGGGTAAAATTTTCATCTAATAAAACATCAGATTGAAATTATTTAATATATTTAAAGAATGTTAATAGATATTTAATGTTTGAAGAAAATTTATATACGTTTAAACAATCGTTAGTATTAGTGGAGTACATTAGAGTGTTCGATACATCTTAAACAATTGTTAATTAATCGAAAAAAATGAATATTCTAATCAAAAAACACCGAGTATAAGATCAAAGTACCGTTCTCCTCGACATCCGCCGTTAGACTGTTACGTTATCCTCTATGAATGTCAGTTGAAGTTTTTCTTATTTATTTTTGTTTATATGACTTTCCATAAAAGAAAATTCTATTTATTACGAATATTATTTTTGTTATGCATATGTAGCCTTAGGAAAAGTCACATAAACAACATTTAATAAAAGAACTTTCATAAAAGACAATGTGTCAGTCTAACGTGGGATTTCGAAGAAGACGGTACACTGAGCTTATACTCGGTACTTTTATCCTACAATAAACATTTCCTTCGATTAATTATCCATCAATTAAGGTAACTCGAATACGGTAGTGTACTCTAATAATATTTTAGATTGTTTTAACGTTTCTGACCAATGTTGATTTAATAAATTCATTAAACGCAATTATTAAAAAAAAATTATGCATTTAAATAAATTTAATATTTGTGATAGAAATAAAATTTATAATAAATTAATACTAAATTTGTTTCTGAAGGGTAAATAATTTTATGGGTATCAAAAATGCATTAAATTTCTATTACAATTATTGTTCATTAATTGATATTCTTTTTTTTTTATGTGTAACACATATTTAATTATAGTTGTAGTTATCTACGATTAGTACTGTTCATTATTTATAAATCAATCATGAGCATCTTCAAATCGATCATCGTGTTCCCATCCTTTGTTCTTACTCATGGATTTAGGTGGTATTGGATTTGTAATAGATTTTGATCTATTTTGAAAATTTTTATTTGCTCCAGGTCCACGTATTGCTCTTGGAATAGTATTTTCCGTTCTAAAATTTTTTTTATAAGAGAGAGAGAGAGTATCCATTACCAAATAATCTTTTTCTTCTGAATTTTCAGCTTGAATTGTTTCTTGTTGTTTAGGTTGCAGCATTGAAGTACTACATGTGTCAAATTCTTGATCTACATTATTCTTCTTTTGCGTCAAAGTTTTTGTCGGCTCTACATATAATAAGAGATTTAATTATCATGTCATCTCATCTTTTACTTTATTTAAAATACGAATAACATGCCTGATAAGAAACAATGTTACCAAACACTACCTTCATCGGTTTCATTAATATCGAGTTCTCTGTTGTGTCTATGGAAATATATCAGAACAGCTGGATCAAGACGGGAATCGTAATAATCGTTTAAAATTTTCGGCAATAAATGAAATTGTTGATTAGCTAAATCAATGGTCAATAACAACATTTCTTTAGCTGTGCTCGATAAAGTATTATTCGTAAGAGTTTTTCTTATATTTAACATAAATTGATCTAATTCTGGTCTTCCATACATGCCTTTACCAGTAATAATAATCTACAATGAAAGATGTAGATATTAGATTAAAACTTCATTAGACTCTCTATTTGTATAAGTAACATCATTTAAAATAACTTATGTACTAATAAAAATTAAATAATTATGAAACCTGTGTTGCGACAAGTTCAATATCTTCTTCAGTTGCAGTTTCTAATAACATGTTCCAACAATCGAGCAATGGTATTTCTAATACTTTTAGAGGTTTACCCGATATTAATGTCATTTGATAATATACTTCTCCGAGTAATGAGATAACGTTCCGAAACAATATAATACTTTCTTCTTTAATTTCTTCCCTTCCTAAAAAAAAAATACTCATTGATTAGAATTATAAAATAAATGGTAATAAGAAATTAGAAATATTAATAAGGGACGCACTTTTGTAATCATTTTGTAGTGCAATCAGTAATAAATATCGCATATTTTGATTTTTATTAACTTCAATGGAAAAAAATGCTACATCGCTGAATAAACTTGCCAATTTTATGCCAAAAATTCTATCTTCCAAAGCATGTTTATATAGCGTATTGAAAATGTTCCTAAAATGTTTCACCTTTAATTAAAGAAAAGCGATAATAAAAATGTTTCATTGAAATATACAATAAAAATGAATACTTTAACGTTTCTTCATCCTTAGTAGTAGGAACAAGATTAACTATTTCATTTATTTGTTCAGGTTGTATGCGCTCATTGATAGTAAGCTTTTTAATTCCAGCAATAATTTCAGTGCATACGTATTGATTATATTTGCTGTATGAATTTATTCCAGGCCTTCTTAACTGAATGTCAATTGACTTTGCTCTTCCGCGTGATCGGCCTGCACTACTCCACGACATCGTACTTTGGTTATTGGAAGAATCCATACTAACAAAATAAATATATTATCTATTATATATATTAAATATTTGAGAATAATCAATCATAATAACTGTTTTTATATAAATTTTTTTTTATAAATTGGTACATTATTTACTCGTTAATATTTTCAACCATATAAGGAATGTCAAGGATTATTATATACTTGTTTTAAACCAGACCAGGTATCTGAACAGGAAATTATTCCATATTGACAAAATAAAACTTTACATTAACCATTTATCCGTGTCAACACTGTCCTTAAAGAAAAAGTTATATCTCCCATTTTAACGGTTATGTTTGTAATTTTACCTTTTACCGATAGAGCGCATGGTTATCCCTTGGCGGTAATATGATAAATTCAAATATTTATTTTCTTATTTCTATTACCGTAGGAACGCTAGCAAGAAACCTTAACAGCAAAAAAAAATGAATAAATCTCTCACATACCACCAGGGAACCATAGTTCAAACGCGTGTTTTTTAAACTTATGGGAGTAATCGTCTTTCAAGGCTAGTGATTATTGCATAATTGACTAATGCAAAAATACAAGTATACACTAGTATATATTGCATACTAGTTATATACGAGTATATCATAGTGTCCACAAATAAATTCGGTAATTCTATTATGCAAAACGATTGTTAAAAAGAAAAAGTAAATTCGTATTGTACGCGTAACTCTACAAGTTATTTTTATTCAATAACTTTAAAAAATAATAAGCGCGGTATTACGTATCACGAAACGATGTACAATGCAACACATTTAAATTTATTTTGTGTAATTGTAAAATCACGCGTGTAAATTTAATTTTATTGCAACGGTTAATAGAGATTTGATAAAAATAAATAAAAAATTCAGTTGAAAAGTGCATCTCTGCGAACTGGACGATTTGTATGTTAGGCTATTGTATCACTTGATTGTATGATTAATATAGTTTTCTTTTTGTTACAGGTGATCATCGTTGGATTTATCATCTACTCGTTTTGATTTTCTTCTACTTTTTAAAATATATATGTATAAAAAACGCATTTCTGAAGGCACACACGTATTTAAACACTAACAATTAAATAGAATTTTTTTAAATTTTCTTAAAATATAACTATACTATATATACTATCAAATAATATTGTATATTATATATATCCCCTGCAGGTATAGCAACTTTACTTTCATTTTTTTCCAAATGTGCTTACGCCTTGGTGTGCTAAGCGACCGAAGAAGTCTAAATAAATTGTTTATTATATTGACTTAAAAAATTGACCAATGGTGCTTGAAACCTTTTTCTAATTATAATTTTCGTTAATATATAATAAAAAACTAAGGTCAATAAATAGATTCAAAAATATTTATATATATTTATTTTGGTTTATGCTAGCATAAGAACAAAATTATATTACGAAAGAAAAAACAAAAATTTTTTAATTACGAAAAAAAATAGAAAGAAATTTCGATCCAGAATTTTAAAAAGTTGAGGTTTTTTCCAAGAAAAAAAATAATTCCTAAAGAATATAACTTCAAATATTTTTGAAAAATTTATTTCCAAAAAGAACATTTAAAAACAAAAAAGCAAAAAAGGAAGGTCCCAATAGGTCCATTTTTGACAAAGTTATGGCTATTTCAAAGAAAAAAAACCATTTTTTTGAATTAGGTAACAAATCTTGAAAAAATTCTCAGAGAGGTTTTCAATAGGGTAGAAAATGTTAAAAAAAGTTCCAGCCAAATCGAAAGAGTTAGGGGTCAAAAGTAGTCGATTTGACGTGGAATGCCTCATTTATATATATATTACTTAATTAAAATAATAAAATAATAAATCTATAAATGATACACATGATATATAAAGGAAGAAACACAAGATAAAATGTAAATATTTTTTTCAATAATTGACATAAGAGATAAATGCAAATATATTACTTTATTATAATATTACATAATTAAATAATGACAAAATAACAGATCTGTAGTAGTAAGCATTAATTAACTGGATCAACAACATGACCTTCGAATAAGCGTACTGGACTCTCGGATTTGTTTCCATCGTTTTCAATTACTTTGACGATAGCATAGAAAAACGGACGATCGACGTTAAATATAGATTCGGAGACGGTACCCATCTTTTCAAGCAAGACCACTTCTGTAACAGAGCATTCAATCACGGGGAAATATGGATGTACTATTCAAATTGATTTCTCCGGAAATCCTGTTAGTTGCAATATTGCCAAAAAGCATGATACAACAGAACTAACGACAAATAATAAATAAACAGATACGTGTACGATACATACATACATATGAGATCTTAAAAAGAAAATAAATAAATAAGAACACAAAAATTTTATCTGATGTGTAGTTACGTTAGTATTGATATTTAGTTTACTGTTAGTCTTGTTATTTAATAGTAATAATGCTCATTTCATTTCGAATTTTCTAAACCAATTTTATATGAATTCGATGAAATTGAATTTCGATATAAGTACCTATAATAATATTAAGAACTTAAGCTTTTGGATGGATGATGTGTCCTTGGAATAATGGCGTGACGTTTAAATCATTTCCTTGAAATTCTCGATGGACGATACTATAGTAAAATGGATGATCGATCTTAAAATCAATAATGATCGGTAGACTCGCTAAACAGATCATCAATCCTGAAACAAATTTTCTATTGATATGCATTTTACAGGATAAGACATTAATTAAACAATTTAAAAGCAATAAGACGAGGAAAGAAATAGGAGAAAAGAGACAATGTGTTAATGGATTTAATTTAATATATAACCATATTATAAATTAGTTTAGTTAAGCTCCCAAATAAATTGGCATTTTATTCATTTATTCTTTGATATAACATTTCATAAGAAGTTTCATTTTTATAGAGTTTTTTATAGATTTATAATGTGAGCAGAGAAAATGTCAAGTTTTATCTCAGGATATTGAGATTTTTCCTCATTGTTAGAAACATTTTCATAATTTTCTAGATTATTTTTAATGATCCTTAGATGGAAAAAGAATTATCGACACGGAAAACTGTTTTCATCCTACCCGATGATACTTTGATAAACACTGATTCTAAATATCAAACATAAAAATATACACATATTCTTTTTTTGTATTCGTCGAATAATTTTCGCATTGCTAATTACATATATAGGAATGTTGTTATTGTCATATATTATTACAGATATTTTTTCAAATAAGAATGGATCTGCTTTCGGACAGATTATCGGATTAGAAGTAGAGTTTTAAACCTTTTGTCCATTGATATTTAGATCAACGTTTCCCACTTGGAATTGATCGAATCAATCATTGATATTTGTAAATATTCACACAAACATACATTATATTTTTCTTGTATTAGTAATGATTTATTCTGACAAATATCTCATATAATATATATTCGATTAAATAGTTTAAAAGGGAAGATTTAGTCCCTTTTACATCAAAGCAGAAAACAATAATATACATTTATAATAAGAGACTAGAGCAACGTAATTGTTTAATATTAATATATTTGGTAATGCATTATCAGAGGAGTTGATTTTTATTCCTTGATTTATAAAAGTGGATCAATCACATGCGCGATGAACAGTTCTAATCTCGTATTCGAGGAAATCTTATTTGAGATATCTTCTGCTCTAATTATTTTCACGTAGAACGGATGATCCACTTCGAAAATTGGTGCTGGTGGTGGTCTTTTAAGTGAACTCGAATGTCGCATTAGAGCACCTACTGAGATTGTTCAGTAATTACTACGTAAGCCTATATCATATATAACATTCCATATATAAACATGCTCGATCGTTCTTGCTTCTTTGTAACGGCAGCATGCTTAGAGAAGTAAATTTATAATCAATTGCATTCTAAATAATAGATTTTGATAAGATATAGTTTAAAATAGTATTATAGTAAGCGTCTGCTTATGTATTTATTAAGGCACAGTGATGTTTTTCATGCAAATTGTACGTTATAAAATTCGATATTACGGAAGTTTTTATATGATATAAGTTTTATGATATAAGAAAAGACTATCGAATTTTGCATTTTTATTTGCTCATATCATTAACTGATATTAATAAATATGCTCGCAAAAATATATTATCTCATAGCCTGTAAAGATTTATTTCCCAAGTGATTTTTCAAATTATTATATAATTTATCGAATAAAAACATTTCTAAAGAGAAAATTTCTTTCTTTTCTACAGCAAAGCGTTAAATACATCTATATAATTATGATAAGAATCTAATACTAATATATTTGGTAATGCATTATCAAAGGAGTCAGTTTTTATTTTTAGACATCATCTGAGGGATCAACCACGTGCGCTGTAAACAGTTCTAATTTTGTACTTGAAGGGTTGTCATTGGCGAAATTTTTCATTCTAATGATTTTCACGTGGAAGGGACGATCAACCTTGAAAATTGGTGGTGGTGGTGGTCGTGGAATACTCAAACAGCGATATGCTAAAGTAACTGCTATAATTGTAAAGGTATTAGTATATTATTTCCAAATCTAAAATCATTCTACGTATAAACATCGATTCAATTTGCTTTTTTTTTCTAGCGGCAGCATGCTTAAAAAATTCAATTAAAATCTGATGCGTTTAAATTAATAGATCATGATAAAACATAAATAACCATAGCATGATAGGAAGATTCTACTTATGTGTTTATTGGTGTCAAGTGATATTTTTAGAGCAAATTTTACATTAAAAAGTTCGATTAAAGAAGTTTTTTTATGATATAAGTTTTATGAGATAAGAAAAGACTATCGAATTTTGCATTTTTATTTGTTCATATCATTAATTGATATTAATAAATATGTTCGCAAAAATATATTATCTCATAGCCTGTAAAGATTTATTTCCCAAGTGATTTTTCAGATTATTATATAATTTATCGAATAAAAACATTTCTAAAGAGAAAATTTCTTTCTTTNAATCTATAAATGATACACATGATATATAAAGGAAGAAACACAAGATAAAATGTAAATATTTTTTTCAATAATTGACATAAGAGATAAATGCAAATATATTACTTTATTATAATATTACATAATTAAATAATGACAAAATAACAGATCCGTAGTAGTAAGCATTAATTAACTGGATCAACAATATGACCTTCGAATAAGCGTACTGGACTCTCGGAGCCGTTGCCAACTTTATTGACGATAGCATAAAAAAACGGATGATGAACGACAAAATGTACGGAGGAATCAATTCTATCATCTGTTTCCACGCCTGTAACAGAGTATTAAATCACAGGAAAATATGAAAGTTCTATTCACATTGACTTCTTTGAAAATCTTGTTAGTTGCAATATTGGCAAAAAGCATCATCGAACAAAACTAACAATAAATAACAAATAAGCAGATACGTGTACAATACATACATATATACATATATACATACATAGGAGATCTTAAAAAGAAAATAAATGGAAAAAAAGAAAAAAATATTATCAGATGTGTAATTACGTTAGTATTAATATTTAGCTTACTCTTAGACTTGTAATTTAATAGTAATAATGTTCATTACATTTCGAATTTTCTAAACCAATTTTTCGTGAAAAATAATCTTGTAATTTCTATATAAGTACCTACAATAATATTAAGAGCATAAACTTTTGGATAGGTGATGTGTCCCTGAAATAATGGCGTGAGGTTCAAATATAATTTCCTTGAAATCCCTGATGAACGATACTAAAGGAAAATGTGTTATCGATCATAAAATTAATAAAAAGACAAAAAATTTTACTAATGCAATTATGATAGTCATAAGAAGTATAATGAACACCAATATGTAACAGGACGTAGCTCCTAAGATTTTTGAGAAAACATTAAAGGAGGAAAGTCGAATAATATCTACAAATTGATAAAAAATAAGATACATTGCTGAATTATTTTAGTAGCATAAATAAATTGTTATATTATGTAATGTTGTTAGAACAGTTTTTAGAATATTTCGGAAGAAAAAAAGAGATACATAGGATAAAGGAAGAGACAAAGTAATTGTTAGCGTTTCATCTCTATAGCCTTCGCCTACTTCCGTTTTATTACAATTTATTCAAGTTGTAATGTACTTACCACTTGATCCTGCAGCTTCGGTACCTTCTTCATTAACTTCAATGAATGCCTTCTGCACCACTTTAGAGATGTAGACATCAGAGTCGGAAATACCCTGGAAGTTAGCTTCAGTTTTTTCGAACGCCTTTCTTATTCCCATCTAAGTAAAGAAAGATTATAATGTTTTAATAATATATTTCATTTCGTGAAATCTAATGTCCATTATAGCGTATAATACTCGCATTCTTAAGATGTTGATTGAGGTTAAAAGAGCTTTCGATCGTGAATTTAGGCAAGTAAACTTGAACTTCGGTTGTTTCTCCTTTCTTGAGAACTTCGTGAGGACCGTGGAGTGCCATTTTCTTTTCGACTGCAGCCAATCCATCTATTTCATCGGGTAATATGATAAGCATGCTGCAATCTTCACCCTAAAGAAGCAACAATTCTTTTATTTAAGATCTTAATTCATCAGTTAATCAGTTAATATAAATAGCTCAAATCAAATTACTTTGTATGGAAGCTCGACGAAAGAGGCTTTACATTCAGGAAGTACACCATAGTTGTACTTTCCAGATCCGAACATGGTTGGTACATTCTTAACTTCGGTCTTGCTGACGTAGAAGGGTCTATTTTGAGTAAATCTAGGATCGAACTCCGTCTTCCAATTACCCTTAAAGTAGACAGCATTGACGAGGAACATGACGGTTGAACTACTAAAACTATCTGCAATGCAAAATAAGTATACACAAAATATGATAAATGCAATATAGAAAAGAAATAATGAAAGAAAAAAAGTAAACTAACCGGAGTTGACGAGGTCCTTAATGCGGTGGTTAGTTTGTTCCTCAACCCACTGGTTGATAGTATTAGCAGCCGATGCGCTTTGAGAAAAGTCAACAGATTGCGAGCTCGATAAGAATGCATCTTCAATCATTTTTTCGTAAGATGGTTTCACGGAGAATCCCTTGTTCGTGAAAATTTTATTGGCGAGATGAGATTCTACGTCTGTGGCGTACTACGATGTATAATTTCGAAATGAACGATTAAGTAGAAATATCAACATTTTAAATAAAATTAAGTTAAAAGATTTAATAATCCTTACGCTAAGATATTTGATAAGATTTGAATATCCACGTGTAGCTTGGGACATCGGTGGAAGATGGAGAACACTTCTCATTTCGTCTTGAGTCTCTCCGCGGGCGCCATAAGCAGCCATAGAAAGAACAATGGAAACGCTAAGAGGAGAAGTGATCAAATTGCCATGATTTGATGACGCGACCTCCTAATAAAGTTTATTATAAATGACGTAATTAATAATTCAATTCAAATAAAATTATAATAATATATCGAAATATAAATAGAGATTTATTTTTCTTACAGCGAAGAAGGACGTTGAGAAGTGGTTGGTTCCTTCAATGACATCCAAAATGGGCATATTTTGAGTAGGTGTAGCCATGGTGATTACCAGGCAGATTGCAAAAATTAATAAGTCTAATAGTGAAAATGAAAATAAAAAAAGAATTATTATTTGGATTACATTTCGATTACATTAAATTTCATCAAAAGGATCGCGTTAAATAATTATAAAAATTTATTGAACGCAGAAATGATTTCGAACGTACTAACAGAAGTTTATCGAAATAAATTTGTAGAATAGAAAAAATTTTCTTGTAAGAATGAAAAAAACGTTTAACTTCGTTAAATATCAAACAAAACGAGAAGAATTAAAGACCAAAAAAATAATAAATGGATAGAACGTCATCAAAAATTCAGTTAGATGTGTTTTCTAGAAAAATTCATAGCTGTTTTTGGGTTAGGTAAAAAAATTTGAAAAAATTCTCAGAAAGTCCCAAGTAAGGGACGAAACGTACAACTGGTTCAAAATAAATTGTTCATAAGATTTAACAATCGTCCAAAATTCCCTTTGAGACTTATATTAATAATATTTATTTCTGGATAAGAATATTGATAATTAAATTCTCAGAAAGGTTTTCAATGGGGTAGAAAATAATGAAAAAGTTACAGTGAAATCGAAAGGGGTCAGAATCGCAAGTGATCGAGTAGTCGTGGAATGCCCTATGGGAATAATTATCTAGCTTGAATGTAAAGTGATATTAGATGTTACATAATTGAAATATGTTCTGAGAAATAATACATCAATGACACTTCGATGTTATCGAATGTTATTTTATAATTTGCAAGTACTATAAATAAGTTAACCATTAAAAACAATAAATTATACAATATTATTAATCATCGATGCGTGTGATTACATTTGCGTAAAGTTAAAAGAATAAGATGGACGATTTTACAAGACAAGATCTATGTGAATAATGAAATAGATGCTTGTGTTACATCCAGATTGGACGTTTGATCACCCTGCATGCATCGAGTTTAACCGTGATCAAGTGACTTAATTTTATGGTGTAAACAATTACCCGTAGATTTTAAATAAAATGAAGACTTTGATAAATAAAACATATACGTGGAGTTAGGAAAGGTTGGAAAGGTTGATGGGGCTGAAAAAATGGTTCCACCGCTCCGGAGTTCACTAACAGAATTTATTAATAAATTATACTTACAAATTGGAAACGCAGTGAGACGGAGGTTCGATCTTCGTGTGGGCGAGGTCGAGAATTTAGAAAATTCACTGGCGGTAAATTGAGACAAAATAAGAAATAAAATTGAGATTTAAACTAAACTGAAAAAACTAAGACTAAATTAAAATACTGAGAGAACTTAACAGAAAGAATTAAAGATTGAGCACGCAGGCTCTTCTTATACGCTTTTCGTGGCTACCCCCACTATGGAGATGTTCGTAAAATTTAGTGGTGGGACGTAGTGGGAGACTCGTAAACCCTTCTTGTTATTTCTCACATATGGGACTTATCAGTTTTTCAAAAGATTGAAACGTTTTGAATAAAGATAAAAAACATCGGACGAATTGCAAAAGGGTAGACGATAGAAGGTTTACGTCGAAATACAAAGAGGTGCTTCTCAGATAAAACAGGCTGCGCAGGTCGGCTAAATGTTTGAAGGTATGGATTTCGGATTATATGGCCTCTTGGATCTAATTAAATAGAGATACGCTTACAATCAGAAGATACATACTGCATTGAAAAATAACTTTCTTACAATTAGCTGCCGTTGTGAATTTCGTTTATCGAAAGAATTACATAGTCATTTTTATTCTTTAATATATGTTTCAATTATTTCTTATAATAACTACTGTATTAAGTTTCGCTTGTCTTTCGTTTATCCACTGAATTGAGCTTCTATTATAATTGACTTAACTACTAGATTGAGTTTCGCTTGTCTTGCATTCCAGCTAGTGATTAGAAGAAAAACAGAGAGCAGAATAATTAATAAAAGGTCAGGCGGTAGACGCGTAAGTAACTTTAGGGCGAAAAAATGTGATATAAAAGTGGCGGGACGTTACATTTGTCATTTAATCCATTTGATTTGCCTAAATACATAGAACTAATCCATATCGAGAGAAAGCTAGAGAGAGAAAAAGAAAGAAAGAAATAAAGACAGACAAATCAAAATTTGTTTATTTCGAAAAATGTTTATCGATTTTAAACTGATCTTTAAAAAAATAGACTTTTTTTGTAAAAATATTTACAACTACGATTTTTTTTCGTTCTCGTTAGATAATTTACAAAAAATGAACTTTAATCAGTTAAATATCTTCCATTCTTTTGATGACATTTTGCCATATTTCTGATAACTTCATGATCTCGCGCTCATCAAAGAAAAAATCCTAACCAAGTGCGATTGAAGGTCATTGTTATTACTGAAATTTTTCCATTTAAGAAGTTTTGTGAACTTCGAAATAAATGATAATTCGATGGTGCAAGGTCGGGGCTGTATGAATGATGCGATATCACTTCTCAACCATGTTCCAATAGTTTTGTACGCGTTGTTAAAGACGTGTGGCTTCACATTGTCTTGGTGGAATACGGTTCTTTTACGATTTGCCAATTTTGGCCTGTTCTCTTTGATTGCTTCTTTCAATTTCATAAGTTGTTGGCAGTAAACATCTGAGTTGATCCTTCGGTTGTTTGGAAGCAGTTTATAATACACAATGTCTTTGTAATCCCACCAAATTGACAGCATGATCTTTTCCTGATAAATTTCAGTCTCCGATATGGTTTGTTCTGGTTCCTCATGCTTGGACCATGATCTTTTTCGATTAACGTTCAAAAAGTTTATATCTCTTATTTTAATAATTATAATTGTAATTTTACATTCTACCGATAGAACTCACGGTTATCCCTTGGCGGTAATATGAACATTTCAAATGTATTTTTTTCTTATTTCTTTTGGAAATTTGTTTTCCTTGCTAATAGGAAATAATTTATATGAAATAGTATAGTAGTCAACGAACGATCAACGTTAGATTTGTTCCTTGTTCCCGGCTAAACACTAAAGTTAATTAAATTTATATAAATCGTAGGCACGGTTAATAATCGTCTCTTGTTGACTCCAGAGAGAGGCAAAATGACGAGCCTTTTTTAGTAGATTAGAATATCTATAAGAAGGTTTAGTAAAGAAGTAACTTGCACTCTTAATAGGAAGTGTAAAAGGACAAAAATATTATATAACATAAAACATTTTTATTTATTTATTTATTTCATTTGAAGCATAGATCCCAATTGTTCTTGTTTATACATTTATGTAAGTATTACATCAAAAACTTTGAGACATTGCTAAAAGTTCTTTATTAAAATCAATTAATTATTGTGCTACATGACCAGAGAATAAAGAGACAATGGTTTCCTGTTCCTCCGCTGGTGTTTTTTGTATAATACTGTAGTAGAATGGATGATTTATTGTAAATTCTACAGGAATGGTCAAAGAAAAAGACACAATGTTCAATTCTGCAACAGAATATTGTTTGATTATATTAAATGATATCCTAATTAAAACTAGATTTATTTCATATAAAGTATTAAATAAGTAATGCGTAACTATGCACAAAAGCATAATTTATATACATATAATCAAATATCAAAGCATTGATAGGGGAGGTAGTTTTAATTTTATTTTATGCAACTAATTTTACGAGAATATACTATATATATACATCAGTATGTATGTATGCATGTATGTGAATACGTATTTACGGACATCAATATGTATGTATATATATATATTACTTAATTAAAAGAATAAAATAATGAATCTATAAATGATACACATGATATATAAAGGAAGAAACACAAGATAAAATGTAAATATTTTTTTCAATAATTGACATAAGAGATAAATGCAAAT